GGCATAAAAACAATTTGTTTGAAGAGCAAGTTGAGGGAGGCATAAAAACAATTTCCCCACAGGGATCAATAAAGTACCTATTATTATTATTTACGTTATATGATGCTATCTTTATGTAATTACTCATTTTCCTTTAATCCACTTATTTTCCTGTGTTTTTTATCCAATTTTCTCACAGTTGTATAGCAATCATCTGATAACATCCCCTTCTGAGTATGCATTGAACATGAACAGGTGAACAAAGAACAACCATAAAAAGGTGAAACTATAAAAATTATAAACAAGACTTCCAAGTAAGGGGTCGCAACATATCGACCCTTCAAAGAGCAAGGATGATAAGTATGCTCCATGGGAAAAACCTCTTGTACTTGCGGTGTACTAAGGGCCCATGCATTTATAGTCATATCGACGTATAAACTGTTCGTCCTTTCCTTCGGTAAAATTTGCACTTAACACATATGTCTTCTTAAATCGGGAAGTGAAACTTAAGTCAAGAAACTAATAGAATGACGATGAAAGTACTTTAAGAGAAGCATCATCAATGTACCTTCAAATTCTGTCCCCAAGAAGAAAAAAAAAGGGTGTTTCTTATCCTTCACTTATCTTCTGTCTGTGAACGTCTGAATGCAAGAAGTTTGTCTTTGTAGGATGGATGTACGTGAGCAGGTGTACCACGCTTCTTGCCGGTCTTTCTCCAGGTCAGCCGCTGAACACACTCAGTCAGTGAGGAAGGTGTGCTGAGTACGGTCACCGGGAGACCTCTTTTCACCATATCGGTCGTTGCCTCCTCCGCCGAGTTGTAGATAACCATGCCTTCAGTGTAGAACACCCTTAACCTGGCCGGGAATCGCGCTTGAAATCTGATGTCGTGTTCCCTCAGGATCCTTTTTGCATCCTGATATTTCCTCCGTTTCCACAGCACATCGGGGGCATAGTCATGATCGAAAAAAGTCCTGTTACCTTTCCATTCGACCACTTTCTTCTCCCAGGCCATTTTGATAACCAACTCCTTTGTTCTGTAGTTGAGAAACTTGGCGATTATCGAGCGTGGTTTGGCTTCGGCTGATGGAGTAGGCGCGAGCGCTCTGTGAGCCTGTTCAATCTGGAGGTCCACCGGCGTGTTCTGATCCAGAGTCGATTTAATTAAATCATCCAGGAAAGAAATGAAGTCCGAAGAGTTTGCCTCCGCTTTTTCAGGTACGCCATAAATCCTGATGTTTGACCGTCTGGCTCGGCCCTCTTGGTCATTTAGTCTGGCTTCAAATTGTTCAGTTAGCCATATCATCTCTTCCAGCACTTCTTCCATGTTTTGGATTCGTGCCTCGGCTTCATCTGTTCTATTTTCAGCCTCTTCAATTCTTTTATTAGACTTATTCAATTCTTCTTTTATATCCTGAAGCTGTTTGTGACTGTCCTGTCGAAAGTCCTTAATCTCGTTAAGGATCCTTGCCAGGCTAATTTGTTCTCCCTCATGTGCTCCGTCTCCGCTCGCGGTATTCTGTTCGTGTACTTTGGGTTGTTATCATCTTCTTTGGTAGCATTTTTTCTTGGTCTTCCCCTTTTTTCCATAGTTGCCCCATCCATAACTTTGTCAGCACTTAAAGATTTGTTAATATCTCACTCTAGGGCACCGAATTCGTGCAAATTTTGGAAAAGACGCGAACCGGAAGTCCAGTCCCCTTTATTAAAGACTGAAACCACCACCCCAGGCTCCCAATCCAACAGCACTGTCCCCAATGTCCACACAATGTTGAAGAGATGTGTGAGCCACCTCTTCCAGCTCAACTTCCTCCAAAGAAGGCATGTCAGTGGGATTCAGGAGGTCCTTAAACTATTCCTTCCACTATATCCCCATTTGAGGTCAAAAGTGCTCCATCCCCACTGTTAACACCTTGGTTAAAGCCCATCTTCCCCCTTCTGAGTCACCTGACGTCACCTGACTGAGTCTTTTCAAGGCCAACCAAAAGTAATTTTTCATGGCCTCACCAAACTCCTCCCACACTCGAATTTTTGCTTCCGCAACTGCCAAAGTTCCATCCCACTTAGCCTGCCAGTTCCTATCAGCTGCTTCAGGAGTCCCACAAGCTAACCAAGCTCGGAAGGCCTCCTTCTTCACAAGCTACCCAAACTCAGAAGGCCTTCTTCTTCACCCCAAAGATCCCTTTACCACTAGTGTCCACTATGGGGTTCTGGGATTAGCACCACGACAGGCACTAATAACCTTATGGCCAGAACTCCATACAGGTGCCTCATCAGTGGAGGCCTGGAACATTGCCCATTCAGGTTCAATGTCTCCATCCTCCCTCAGGATGCAAGAGAACTTCTGCTGGAGGTGCAAGTTTAAGATCTCAAGGACATGGTCCTCCACCAGACACTCCCAGCACACCTTCAATATATGTATAAGTTTACCATGTCTGTCCACCATCTGATCCAACTCACTACCAGATAGTAATCAGTTGACAGCTCAGGTCCTTTAACTGAGTATCCAAAACAAGCAGACACAAATCCTACGATATGATTACAAAATCAATCATCGAGCTGTGGCCTAAGGTGCTCTGGTGTCAAGAGCACTTATGAACACCCTTATGTTCAAACATGGTATTTGTTGTAGAAAAACTATGGTTAGCACAGAAGTCCAATAACAGAGAACCACTCAGGTTTTGATCCTGTAGGCCGTGCTTCCCAATCACATCCTTCCAGGTTTTACTATCTTTTCTCACATGATCATTTAAATACCACAGCAGAACAATGGATTCCCCAGAGGGGGTGCATTCTGGGACCCCATACAAGGTCTCCATGATGGGCGGATGCTCTGAACTAGTGTATGGTGCATATGCACAGACAACAGTCAGCCCGTCCCCCGACTTGAAGTCGGAAGGAGGTGACCCTCTCGTTCACCAGGGTGAACTCCAATGTACTGGCACTGAAAGAAGGGGCTTTAAGTAGACTGACACCTACCTGGCCCATCTCACCCTGGGCAACTCCAGAGTGGAATTGAGTCCAGCCCTTCTTTCAGAATTTGGTTCCAGAGCTCAAGCCGTGCATCAAGGTGAGTCCAACTATATGTAGCCAGTATCGCTCTACCTCTCATACCAGCTCAGGCTCCTTTCTCATCAGAGAAGTAACATACTTCATGTGCCTATATCCAGATTTGTCTGCAACAATCGGGCTGCAACAATCGGTTTGCCAATGCCCCTGCTTTCAACTGCTATCTAATCTACATTGCAGTCGATCCCCATAGCCCCTCCTGCAGGTGGTGGGCCCACAGGAGTGTGGACAAATTCAATAACAGTCAACACATTTACAAGGTACTCAGCTTGGATATCATAATAAAAATTGCATGATGAAGCATCATTATGATTGCATCATGAAATCATTTGTTGACTGTGCAGCAAAATAATTTCAATGTACTTGGTACAATGCTAAAAACAAAGTTATGACTAGCTAATATTGTGCCTAGGTACAATGTACTCTTAATGTAATAATGATAAATAGTACAATATAGTAAATGCATAAACCAGTAACGTAATTATGTAGTATCATTATGAAATATTAGGTACTGTACATGATTGTGTGTGTTATACTTTAAGATGACTGGCAGCACAGTAGGTTTGTTTACGCCAGCACCACTGCAAACATGTGAGTGATGTGTTGTGCTATGATGTTACTAAATGATTGGAATTTTCCAGCTCCATTAATAGCTTATGGGATCATCATTGTAAATGTGGTCCATCATTGACCGTTGATGGGAATGATTACAGACCTTGGTGGGTAATTGCTTCAATTACATTATGTCCCCAGGTAAAGCTAATCCTTTGTGAATAGGGCTTAACTATATCCACACATTTAAAATGCACATATGCATACTTAACCAACCAATGATCTGATTGTTACTATAGCCAAGCTCATAAAACCACATACCCAATAGGCTAACAATCATGGGCGTCACTAGGCCATTTTTAGGGGGGCTTTAGCCCCCCTAACATTTGTACTCAGCCCCCCTAAAAATTCTGCATAAACTTTACACAAATTGGTGATCGCCCACGTCCCCATTAAATTTCATATGAAATCGGAGGCATACTTCGGCTCCGCCCCATCTATCAGCGCGGTCTTCAACTGAAGCATCACAGAGTGCGGCATCACAGAGCGAGGATTAAGCCAAGGTGTGTGTTTTTCGATAAATTGTTATATCTGTATCAGTGCAGTCCTTTTTCATAAATACAGTTTATAAAAATGTCAAAATTTTCGCTGTGTTACGTCATCACACCAGCTGTTTCCTCTAGCGAAAATGAAGCCCTTAATACATACCCTATTAACCTATAGTCTACTTTATAAAACAATGATGCTGTTGCTGTTTTAATTGGAAAACCTAACTGTCTATATAAAACATTACACAGTGCATGGCATTAACTGCCATAGAGCTACAGTATGCACATAAATGATTAAAAACAGTGACAGGCAGCATTCAATGCACTCGTTTTAACTGCATAGTAGTGTGATTTACAGAGATAGAAAAATCCTGTTTTTTTTGTAATAAATATTGTATTGTATTAATAAATGTCCCAGATCGTGAAAAACATTTATTAGCCTTAGAGTAGGGTTTTTTGTCACTTTCATTTAGAAAAAGTTACTTTTTCATGAATAGAAACAAAAAAAGAATTATATAAAATGTTTAATTACATTAAAACAATGTTTGTCTATATTAATGAATTAGAATAAATAGTCTAGTAGATATAAAGTTTTAAGGGGTTGAATGTAGAACCTACTGTCTTATTTATGAGGAATCAGGAAGACTCATTTGAGTACTGATTCTGAACAAGCCAAATATGTGTTAAACATCTATGGGGGCTGAGCCCCCCTTAAATGAACATCCTGCTAACAATGTTACAACCCCTGCTAACAATGTTACTGTTAATGAAATTAAAGAATGTAAGCCATATTGAAACATCCTCATGGTTAACTGCCAGGCAGATGAAGCCCCCTAGAATGAAGATCCTTACCTGGGTCAGCTGATCTGCCTGTGACAGATCGCTGGTTCTTGTCCTAAAACAAGAAATCTCACAAGTCTCACTGCAAGGTCTGAATGATCACACAGTGATTATTTACATGAGCATCAGAGACCTACCTTTCTCATGGTGCCAGAGAGCTCTGAAAGACACATAGCATAATTTGTGTTAAGGGTAAGAGACTATTGTAAATATGTTAAAGACACTGCAAAAAAATTATGTACATGCTGCAGTACTGAAATTCATAATGCACAGTGGAAAATGTGTTATGACAAAACAAAAGTACAATGGCAAACACTCATAAAGAGAATGAACGAGTAAGTGCAGGTACCTGAGTTTTTCCCACAGGGAGCAACACGCCCTAAACACTCCTTGTGTGCTGGTGCCTTACAACGAGTGCATTGGTAGCCCTGGAAGAAGATCCCTCTGAGAAGGAGCAGGAGGAGACATTTTCAGATTTCCTAAAAAGTATTTTTTCTGTATGACAGTTAGGCTGATTCGCTTTGAGTGCTCTAAAGAGTAGCAAAAATGCGCTATATAAATGCAATCCATTTACCATTTACCATTCTGAAAATACAAACATCCATAGAAAATTAATATAGAATAAAATATAGAATGAATATGCATGATGATGAATGACAATGTGAAAAGTTAACTATTTTCTCTTCCTGTAATCTTTAGTTTCTTTGTCCAAATTTATCAGCTTCTGTGTCTTTTCCTTCATCTGTCTCTCAACTCTCACCTAAGTAGCATTTGACATGCCCTGCAGGATGTGGTCTCCTCAAAGCAGTACATCTGGAAATCATGACTGTTGGCTGTGTTGTTCTCTGGAAACATGTTTGACCTGGGAAGGCAGAAAATGAATCCTACTATACAGCGCACTATGCATATATGGGATTTCCAACCTACTTCCAGTAAGCTATACCCCCTTGTATGTGCCCCTTGTTGTGATCCAATCAGCCTTTCCAACTAAGCTATTCCATTAAGCTATGCCCCTCAGTACATGCCAGTAGTTGTGATTCATTTGGCTTTTCCAATCTAGTTCCATTAAACCGCGCCCCTTGTGATCAATTCAGCTGGTGGGACATAGGCTCACTTAGCGACTGGTTGTAGAAAACAAATCCCATCAGTGAAAACTGACCGAGTGATCATAAACGGACTGGTTCTTAATATGTACCTTAGCTACATCGTGGGCAGTGGTGGTTTAATGGTTAGGGACGTTCACTTGTAATTGAAGATTGCAGGTTTGAATCCCTGACCAGCAAGGCACCACTGAGGTACCCTGCGCAAGGTCCCGCCCCCAAGCATTGCTCCGTGGGCGCTGAATTAGCTGCCCCCTGCTATGTCACATTGTCACATATGGGTTAAATGCAGAGGACACATTTTGTTGTGGTGTGTCAACAATGACAACTAATCTCTAAAATTAACAAGGTAGTTTTGTTCATTTGATCTCAGTTTATAGTAACAGCATCCAAGTTATGATTGACAGCACACAAATAATCCTGTCAACTTAAAAATGACAAAAATTCCTTTTAGCAAGAAACATTAATGACACTGAAAGAAATAGTCGACTAACTAATGATTGTTTTTCAATCTGTAATGTTATCCATTATATTTACAGAAGCAAACGCAAGGCAATAAATGCTTCAATACTGCTGTTTCACATGGTAAGACTTAACTAGAATTATGATTCGACTTATTTTGTGGCAACATTAACTGATAAGAGAACCAACCTATGTGTTTGTGTGTGTTTCACTGGCAGGGATGCTCTTAACTCTACACTACATAAAGACATACTCACAATGAACCAACATGAGAAAAGCATTACAGTTTGGTGAGATTAATAAATGACTAAACAAATGGGGAGTAATTCAAACAGATGTATAGAGACATTGTCATAATGTCATCATAATGTCACAATTATGACAATCATAATTGTGTGATTATCTTTCCTGAGCCTCAGGACAAACAACCAATTGCAGCAACATAGAGTTTAAGGCATCCTTCCCAACACCCCTCCAGCGGATCCGATTTAGCATTTATCATAGTCACTGTGTGCTTCATTATTCCGCCATCTTGGTCCACATACACAAAGTAAAAGAATATTCTGGGACTTTCTTAACATCATTATATTATGGTACCCTGTACTGCACATGCTGAGCTGGCTAGCACACATGAACTTTACATCCCCAAGGCAAACTCGTTTGTTGTGATCCCACTCACTCTCTGCAACTGGCTGACATAATGTGAGGCTGTGGTGTTAGTCAGCAAGACTAAAATTACTGGCATGTTTTGCATGACACCGCACATATCTCTAAATACTGTAATTTAATATGTGTATTTTTAATATGTGTATTTATGTATTTTTGTTGTCAGTAGTAAATGTCATAACCATGTAATGTTTGTTGAGTAATGCGTGTTTCATTAGTGTGTAACCGTGAGTGTAAATTGCTGGCTTTCCTGTATGTGCCACTGCTAGCATTAGACCATGGATTTCCAAACTTCTCAGCTAACGATCCCTAAAATAATTGTACCAGAGACATGCGACCCACATTTTGTATGGGGCATCCTCTGTAGATTTTGCCGACTAGGGGGGCAGATGTTTTCAAATTTTTAGTAACATACTCTGAAATTCATCTCATGACCCCCATTTTGGGAACCCCTGTATTTGATTTATTAAAATGACTCACACTTGGCTCAATACGTTTATTTGCAAGAAAGTTTCTGAGGCAGCTCTAGGCTCAATGAAATCCTGCTGCATAAATAGCCATGGGGGATGTAAGGATCAACTTACAGAGCCATTTGAAACTGCTCCAGCCATTTTTTCTTCAGTTCTTTGGTTTTGAAGTAGAGATCAAAACTGTACTGTCCATATGAATCTATCAGATAGAACATGTAGGACCACTGAAAAATACAAAGAGAATTAAGAATGAAGAAAGAGAAATTAAGATGTGGAAGCACTGAAAATATGCACTTGCGGGGACTGTGCAACTGTGTAACACTGTAACAGGAGAACAGGTTAGAGGTGAGCATGAAAGTCAGATAGGTAATCAACAAGAGAGACTATAAGGGGGCAAAGGGGAAAAAGAATTTGAGTAAGGAGTAAATTAGATGTGGACAAATGGCATAAAGAGGCTCTGCCACCTTCTTGTTTTCCTTCTCGCCCATGGTCTCATCACGGAGCTGATAGTTGCGTAGTTCGATGAGCTCCTTCAGCTCCATGGTATCTCCACTCTTTTTTTTACACACCAGCATAGCTTTGTCAAACAGGAAAGCATACCTGAGAATGAAAAATGAAAGTTATGAAACCTTGCAAATCACCTTCGTCATTTCAGATAACCTGCTCACCAAAGTGAAGAGCTCTGGTCTTTCCTAATGAAAAGTAAACTAAATACGATATTTTATCATTATTATTACTCAAAGGACTACTTAGTTTTTGTTTCACTTTCCCACTACCTGTCTTGCTTGGACCTCTTCTCTATGCTGGAGATCTTCAGCTCGCCATCTATCTTGGGGCGACCAAAGAGAGCCAGAGACTGGGTCTAAAGGAGAGAAGAGAAAGGGTGACCAAAAACTAAAACCTCTACATATTGCACCCCTGATTTACATCCTAGGTCTATAGTAAATAATACACACTGATCAAGAGACCAAGCAGATGTAATAGGACTTTAGTGGGTCTGTCCCTTAGTGTAACATATGCAGGAGAATGGGCAGCACCGCCAGCCGTATAATGACCGATTCTCCATAACTAACAGTCATGTATATGTGATGGACTGCTACAATAAGCATATATGAAACAAATACAGTACATGTACTGTGGTTTTCCATTCCCATAAAAAGAAATTTACTGTATTACACAATAAAATAAAATATTTTGCAGCAGATTCAGGTGTCATCATTTTCAAAGCTCCCATTGTTTACTAATGCACACATCTATTGATTTTGTAGTGCAATCCGTGCCTTATTTTTCATGAAATTTAAGTGCAATATCTTTTTATTATAAAGTGTTGTGATTTCTAGTTACATTATTACTTGCTGTAGAGTACTGGATATATATTACAATATTTGTACTTATGTGTTTCCTCTCCCCTATGACTATCAAGATATGTCCAAATTGACTGGCATCTGGTGTTCCCAGTCCCAAAAGTGAAGGCAATTCAACAGATACTTAAATATAATGACCAATGCCTGTCCCCATTGGGCCCCAGATTTATAGTATACCTTTTACTTATGGGTCATGACCAATACCTGTCCCCGTTGGGTCCTCCATTGAGAATATACTATTTCTTTATGGTTCATGACTGTTGATCTTATTTATACTTATCTAGTTTTCATTTGAAATTGTTTAAATTTCCTCATTTAAGGCAACAATCCACCCATCTATCCATTCATTCATCTGTCCATCCATCCATTTTCTGCTGCTTGTCTGGGTCAGGGTCACATAGGCAGCAGTCTGAGCAAGGATACCCAGACCTCCCTCTCACCACCCACCTCCTCCAGCTCCTCCAGGGGAATACTAAGGCGTTCCCTGGCCAGCTGAGAGATATAATCTGGAGGTGCTGATCCTCATCCTGGTTGCCTCACATTCAGCTGCAAACTATCTCAATGCGGCATGAAGGTCACACCTTGATGAAGCAAAAAGGACCACATCTCCAGAAAGCAAAGATACAATCCTGAGGTAACTGAACTGAACCCCCTCCACCATGGCTGCACCTAGAAGTTCTATCCATAAATGAACAGAATCAGTGACAAAGGGCAGCCCTGGAGGAGTCCAACACCCACCGGGAATGAGTCTGACTTACTGCAGGCAATGCAAAATGGGATTTAATGGCCCATAATCTTGAACGCTGCACCTGCTACTCCCAAAAAATAAAAACCTTACAGGACCCCTTGAGGAACTTGGTTATATGGGTTTTCCAAGTCCACGTAGTACTTGTAAACTACCGTGAACCCTTCTCTATCCTTATATGGATGAAAAGCTGCTCCAGTTTTCCATAACTAGGATGGAATCTGCATTGTTCCTTATGGACCTGAGGTTTCACAAATTGACATACCCCCCTTCCCATGACTATAGCATAGACCTTCTCAGGGAGTCTGAGGTGTGTGATCCCCCTGAAGTTGGAACACATCCTCTGGTCCTCTTTCTTAGCAATTATGATCACTATCTCTGTCTACTAATCCAAAGGCACTATACATGACTTCCCTGCAATATTTAAGAGGTGTGTCCTCTAAGACGGCCCAACAACATAAAGAGCCTTCAAGAACTCAGGGCAAATCTCATCTACCACTAGGGCCTTAATGATGGAGAGTTTTTTTGACTACTTCAAAGATCTCAAACCTATGATTGGCAAGTCCTCCTCTGAGTCTTCCAACCTTACTTCCTCCAAGGAAGGCATGTCTCTGAGATTCAGAAGGTCCTTGAATTCCTTTTTCTACCACCCAACAATGTCTCCAGTTGAGGTCAACAACTCTCTTTGTACACAGCAGGGACGCCCTGTTTCTCCCTTTTAGGCATAGCCAAAGGATAGAAGAGTTCCAGTACAGTGACCTCAAGATTGCATCTTTGTTTTTTTCAGGTGATGTGGTCCTGTTAGCATCATCGAGCTGTGACGTGCAGCATGCTTTCCAGCTGAGAGTGAGGCTACTGGGATGAGGATAAGCACCTCTGAGGAAAGTTTAAGTATCTCATGGTATAGTTCACGAGTGAGGAAAGAGACAGGGTGATTGGTTTAGAGTCAACAGTAATGCGGACGCTGTACCGTTTTGTCGTGGTAAAGAGAGAGCTAAGCCGGAAGGCAAAGCTATCAATTTACCAGTCAATCCATGTTCCTACCCTCACCTATGGTCACAAGGTTTAGGCAGTAAATGAGATAGTGGGTGCAAGTGGCAGAAATGAGTTTTGTCCACAGGGTGTCTGGGCTCAGCCTTAGAGATAGGGTGAAGAGCTCAGACATTAGGTCAGTGCTCAAAATAGAGACGCTGTTCCTCTGCATTGAAAGGAGCTAGTTGAGGTGGTCCAGGAATCTATTTATGACTTCTGGACGCCTCCCTGGAGAGATGTTTTGGGCATGTCCAACCGGGAGGAAGTCCCAGGGCAGACCTAGGACATTATTCACATTGTTTGTTTCGGCACCACATTAGTCAATCATTCCATTTTTGCAGCTGCCATTGATAAACTTCCACACACTTCATATGCATTTTTCAAAGAGAAAAATACATAAGCAGACCAACAGGAACACATAATCCATTCATAAAGTATGACATGGCTATAGGTCAGGTCAGGTTGGGGAGCATGTGCTGATGCAGCGCGTTGTCGCACCCACCACATGGCAACTCCTCAGGGTCCCAGCTGGCGACCCTCTTGGCAGACATTCCAGTCCCACCCCCCGGAAATGGCCATCCATCTGTCACAGCCAGGTGTTACATGGTCCAGCTACTCGGCAACGAAGATCTTGCAAGCCAGATCACCCTCAGGAAAACGCACCACATGGTCATAGCGCTGTAACTGATGCTCCCTCACAATGCAGGTAATGTGCTTCATTTGGGACTCCTCTAGCAATCAATCATTTGACAGAAAGTGAAACAAATGGTACCCAAGGATTCTCCAAAGAGACACAATATGGAAGGAGTCCAGTCTTTGCCTCAGCTCATTGGGTAATGTCCATGTCTTGCAGCCATATAACAAAACAGGGAGCACCAGGATTCTAAAGATTTAGACCTTCGTCCTCTTGCAAAGATTTTGGAATCACCACACACCCCTTTCCATTGACATCATGACCCCCATGCTCTCCAAGTCCATTTGCTGACTTCATAGGAAGATTCACCAGAGACATGAATGTCGCTACCGAGGTAAGTAAATTGACAAGTTTGACATTCTCTCCGCAGACAGACACATTACTGATGGCTGTGTATCGAGTCAGAATAGTGCCCTATATACTTGTATGTGTACAGTACTTTCCAATTTGCACCCGTAAAATGAAATTTGCTCGCACTGAACACAATTTTCATTTGCAAAGTACTGAACAGAAATACGTGTCACGTGATCTGTACTTGTATATGAAGATTTGTGAATGAAAGTGAAAAACATTTTGCAAATACACGTCAATATTTTTTGTAAATGCGAAACCAAACACCTTCATAAAAATATTTTTTACAAGGATAGAATGGTTTTCAAGTACAAAACCTGTATTGCAAATCCAAGTCCTCTTGCAAATACCAACCTGCGAGTGCAAATTCACACTTGCGCACATAAATAATTTTGGCACTAACTTGCCTAGTGCTTTGCAGATAAATATTTGCTCGAAAATTAATTAATCAAATTAATTCATTCACTAAATGTCTGTCCATAGCTGTGCCTAAAAAGTCATTAAAGGCCTGGATCTTGCTTTTTATCCAGGACTCTCGCAATCCCAGCCACTCAGAGTCCTCACTCAGTCTCTTGAGAGCCCCGATCAGAGCCTCCATTGACTCAGCTAAGATCTCAGAACAGAGTAAGAGCAAGAACACACCCCTGGCAAAGCCCAAAATCAACTCGGAAGAACGCAGAGGTTCTCTTCCCACTCAGCACAGCATTCACAGTACCAGTGTACAGGCAAACCATGACGTCCAGCAACTTCAAGGGGATCCCATGAAGTCATTTTCCTGGAGAAATAAGATGTTCCACATGCCTACCCAGATGGGTCGCCTCAAACTGGGACCTAAGTGCCGCCATGTAGCGGGTGACGCCTCTGCATCACACCAGCCCCAATCCCCAACAGGCCTGATCCTATTAGCTCTCCGACAGTTTAGACTCTTCCGGGGATGAGACTCCCGTGGGCTTTCCCCAATCCCTGTCACGATGCGTGGAACCTTCCTGTGGGCAGCTGCAGCAGAGCTATTCCCACAGAGAGCAGAAGGGTGTCATGCCTGTTTAGAGTGAGCTGCTGTGAAGTGTATTACAGTAGTTGGAGTGCCAATCCCGCTACCAACCCCCAAAATTTTCACTGCAAGTTAGAGAATCACTTTCAGGGCCGGATGCAGTTTAAAGTCATACCTAGGACATATAATACATTATAGCCATATTTATTATGCATTATGAGTGCTCTGTGAAGCTCTAATCTATAATGCACTATAAATAGCTTCATAATGCATTATACTGGCTTATACTAAAGGAGAAACTAAAGCATCTGCTAAAGAGATAAATGTAATGTAATTCTAAAGAACCTTACCATGTTCTCAATGGATAGCTGGAATGTGGTGATCTGGCGAATGATTTCATTGTCCCGTTTAACTTCATTGACACATTGTGCTAAGTCCTGTAAGACACAGGTGACAGCCCATATTACTGGTAAGTGAACAGAAGGATGATATGACAACTGAATATGCTCAGAAAAGTTGAACAAATAAGTGACAGGTTGAGTATTTATGGAGGGGAGAAGATGGACAGAGATAAAAGTAATTGGAGAAGATTAATCGGTAAATCAGAGAGATACTAAGGGCATGTTTGAGTGTCAGGGACTTACTCTCATGGCATCGAGGGCAGTACGCAGGTTCTCCTTCTCAGATGGGTTGGAGGTGTGCTTCACAAGCTCCTGAGAGCATAACAATACACAAAATCTGACAATAAATGTCTGTGCAATGTGTTTGTTGTCTAAGATACATTGTCATTTAAATGCTAGTGTTGTACCTGTAAAAGAAGATGGTATTTCAAGACCCTCTGCATGGGAACCATTAGAAGATCTCGAAGAGAAAATCTTCCACTGTTTGCTCTTTTGGAGCACTCCTGAGACAGAGGACAGAGAGAAAGCAATTTAGGCTGCACTTAAAGGTTGACGTTATCTTCTTAAAGATTGACCTTAGCGCTCAGTGTGAACGTCTCTTACCTCTAACTTCATTCGAACATCCTCCTTCATATTGGCCATCTTATCCAAGTGCTTTGTAGCTGATTCTACTTGACTACAATAGCGTCCATAAAGTAATAACCTGCGGATGCAGAATTATCGAGTCTAGTTCTACATACTGAAGGCTATAAAAGATACAACCATTATTTCAAGAGATGCAAAGAAAGATAAGATGGAACTTTATTGATCCCTATGGAGGGAAATTTCTTTATCAACTAGCACAGAAAGGTATATAATAAGGTAAATGGAAAGGAAAATCAGCAATAAAATAAGTTGTTCCAATATGGTAAATTTAGCGCAAATGGCTTTTGTGCAAATGGATTTTTTATATCACAGCTACATACCAGAAGAGATAAGCATAGACTTCATAAGTAGTTCATTATTTGAATTAAATGTATGTACATTGCTGTGCAAAAGTCGTAGGTAGTCAAAGAAAATGTGAATAGGATTAGAGTTTTCCCCATAGAAATGAATGGAGATTCCCCACAAAGACATAAATACAAACCAGTGTATGTGTGTGTGTGTGTGTGTGTGTATGTGTGTGTGTGTGTATGTGTGTGTGTGTGTGTGTACCTCTCTTTGTATTTGATGAAGATCTGGTAAAGGTTCTCTGCCCCATACAACTGGATGGAGTTTCGGATCTCTTCCAGCAAGCTGTGGTGAGTCTCAGCAAGCTCCTACATCAATGCAATATTCACAGTGCAGATGGTCAACATTTCACCTGAATGCAACATAAACAATACATACTAGGTATGAAATGAATGTAGTAATGCTTGGATGTATGGCATATAAAACAAACATAGAAAGTGTATATAACAAAAATCACATAAGTAAAAGAAATACTGAATGAAGAGTTTTGGCTTTTCAGGGAACAAAGCATAATTCCTGAAATCCCTGAGGACTGGGAAAGAACTGTTAAGCATTTGTGTAGAGCACACATTTTAAAAGGTTCAGAATTCTATGTTCAGAGGAGTTTAAGTATTTTGGGGTCTTGTTCATGAGTGAGGGAAGAAGAGAGCAGGAGATCGACCGATGGATCGGTGCAGCATTGGCAGTAATGTGGACACAGTACCCTTCTGGCAAGGCGAAGACTGTGATGAACCGGAAGTCGAAGATTTTGATTTACCGGTCAATCTACGTTCCTATCCACACATAAGCTCATGAGTTCTGGGTAGTGACAATGAGAAACAATGAGATTGAGAATACAAATGGCAGAAATAAATTTCCTCCGTAGGCTGTCTGGGCTCAGCCTTAGAGATAAGATGAGGAGCTTGGCCAATCGGGAGGGGCTCAAAGTACAGCTGCAGCTCCTCTGCATTGAAAGGAGCCAGTTGAAGTGGTTCAAGCATCTATCTAGAATGCTTCCTGGATGGCTCCCTGGGGATGGCTCCCTGGGGATATGTTTTGGGCATGTCAAACCAGGAGGAGGCCCCAGGGCAGACCCAGGACATGCTGGAGAGATTATATCTCTCAGCTGGCCTGGGGAGGCCTTGGTATTCCCCTGGTGGAGCTGGAGGAGGTGGCTAGTGAGAGAGAGGGCTAGGCATCCCTGCTTATACTGCTGCCCCCACGACCTGACCCCAGATATGCAGCAGAAAATGGATAGTTGGATAGATGGAATTCTATATTTTACCGTAAATGCATAATTGTAAAGGTTGAAGACTGTAAAAACAAAAGAGGACAAGTAAGAAGATTATGAAGCGACATTCACCTCAATGTTGATGAAAATGTTCTCCAAGTCTTGTGGCTGTAGGAAACGTTGAAGTGGCTTCATGAAGTGCTGTGGGAAGCAGAGTATGTCATGGAGAGCAACTGTTTTAGCACAGCACGTGAACCTGCACTATGACATTTTTGAAGAATATCTCTGTCTAACGTATTTTATTTCCGGTGTACCTGTGATAAACTCTTCTTCCTGGTTCAAACAGAATCATATTTTTAGTGTCTGTATCTATTTAACTGATATTTTATATATTTTTAAAATATAAATCTTCATAGCATAAAAAGTAACACCTGAATAACATCATACACTGTTGGTGTGAAAAATGATTCATTCATACTAAATAAAATGAAAAGTTTGTTCATGACTGTGGACTGCTGTTTGATCCACTGGTGATAGTATGTCTATGTGTGTAAATGTGTGTGTACATTTATAAAATGGACTCCAGCATCTCTGTGTATTTATGGGTGTGCTAACTTTATAATGAACTCCAGCATCTCTGTGTATTTCTGGGTGTGCTAACTTTATAATGGACTCCAGCATCTCTGTGTATTTCTGTGCATGCTACCTTTAACATGGACTCCAGCATCTCTGTGTATTTCTGAGCGTGCTACCTTTAACATGGACTCCAGCATTTCTGTGCATTTCTGACTGTGCTACCTTTAACATGGACTCCAGCATCTCTGTGCATTTCTGACTGTGCTACCTTTAACATGGGCTCCAGCATATCTGTGTATTTCTGAGTGTGCTACCTTTAAAATGGACTCCAACGTGTCTGTGTATTTCTCCTCTGTCTGTTTGATCTCCTGTAGGCAGCAGCCCCTCTTATCCACCTCGCTCATCTTCTGCTGCTATGGGAAGATCAGTTGGCTCATTATCATGAAGCTACCACAGAAGAAGTCAGTTACTTCACTGGTGATTGTATAAATATATTTCAGTTTATTCATTCATCATCCCTCTCTCCATCCCTCCATGCATGTATACATCCGTCCATGTTCTATTCACTTCTTAGGTACAGGGTCGTAAGGTGGCCCAAAGCCTCTCCTAAGCAATATAACACATTTGACAGGGCTACTCCCTGGAAGGGATGTCAGTCCATCACAGGGCACATTAAGAGCAATTCAGAGACATTAGTTTCCCTAATGGTACCGTAAAAGACAATTGTATTATCCAAAGGAAATCATAGGACATTACACAAACTCCACATACACAGATGCGGACAGGAATCTGTCAGTTATGGCCTATAGCTCAAAACCATTCAGTAAAGTTACATATTATATTTCATGGCTCAGATTCATTCAGGTTATTGTTTTTTTTTACATATGAGCATTACTATCACAGCTAAGACCACAATCGAGCCATGAATTTCACAGCCGTGGGTAGAGTCCATTCCTTGTACTCAAAAACATTTAAGCAAGGCACGCCACTAATCATCAAAGCATTAATCAGGGTTCTCTAATGACTCTTACAGTCATAAACAAAATGCTTGCCTGGTCCTTGCAACTATCAGCACAGTGTTTTCCATTACAATCTTTGCTATGTAAAGCTTTTTACTGTCAGCTTTTTTTCCCCATATTGCCCTGCTCACCACTTCCTGGGGGGCGTCCACTTGCATCAGGTGCTCATAAATCTCGTCCCCCTCATTGGCCTCATCCTCCACACAGTCATAAAGGTCATCATCTTCATCTGCTGTGTCACTGTGTAAACAATACATACAGACTGTACAGTAAGACACACAGAAACTCATTCACTACACACAGAATTACATGCTGACTGTTATACCCGTATAATGCACACCATACATATGTACACTATGTACACAAACTGTGTTCAGGTAGAAGATTCAGACACAGATCACATGCATGTTCAAGCTGTCTGCAGACATTCAGACAAAGATGAACTCACTCTATCTGGTCAGAAAGACCACTGTAGATTTCTTCATCTGGAACACTACCCTCAACAGGAAACGGCCTGTAAAACAGGAGAAGTTAACGTCTGCTGAACCATCACTGGCTAGAACAGTCTAACCAGGAAATACATTAGTCTAACTTGGATACATACTAACCAAAGCAGACTTACCTGGAGACACATGCAATCTCATATGTACCAAGTTTGCATTGCCTGTCTTGCCAATCTGTCCTGGATTAATAACATCTAAGCTGATAGAAGTGAAATCCCTCTAAAGTGTTGTCTATTCATAAGAACATAAGAACTATACAAACGAGAGGAGGCCATTCGGCCCATCGAGCT